GGGAGGGAGGGAGGGAGGGAGGGAAGGTGGGAGGGGGAATGAATTCACCATTCAAGGGGCTATGAAGTTTTGCCAGAGCATCCACTTGGTCCTGTTACTTCTCATCTACATCAATTCTGCCAGAATTAATTGAATAAATATCGCTGCGTTTCTTAAGACATTGATTCATCATCATACAGACCAGTGTGTTACCCGAGGCCCTGGGTTTCACACAAAGAACTGCGCCAGCAAGAGAAAAGCGCTTGCTTTTCTCATCTCAGTAACACAACAGCAACAGTAACAGACTTGCTTACTATCACTTTAAAGTTCTTGATAAGAGCTGGCCAGATAGCGCAGGCAGAGCGCAGGGGCTGGGGTTTGCTCCCCAGCATGCTATGCCGGCCCCGCCCCCGGGGCACACTGAGGTGGCCACTGAGACTGGGAGGGGCGGCACTCTGCAATCCCAGCGCTCGGGAGGCTGAAAGCAGGAGGATCACTACAAGTCGGATCTACGTAGTGAGACCCTGTAGGAAATACAGTAAAATAAATAAAGTTCAGTGATATCTAGCAATAAACCAAGGGAATGGCAACATACGACCTTGTGAGGGAGGCCCCTAAAGTAGCTTTTATTGCTATGCCTGGGTTAGTGGTTCCTAGCCTCACTTGTTCTTCCATAGTCTTAAAAATTTGAATGCTGACGCTGCCTACAACAGACTAATTAACTTGGAAGCTCCTGTGAGAAGGCTCCATAAATCTCTCATTCCCCTCTCTCTCGGTTACCCAGGCAGCAGTTCCCCACACTAATACCGGTCTGGAAGCTGACGGCCAGCTCTTCGGGCACCTTTCGTAATTGTAGAGGCTGCGGGTAGCTTGGATCAATCTCGGGATAGCTCAATAAATTTAAGATATTTATATGGGTTTTCTTTTCCTGACTTGTGTATACCATCTTTTTGTGAACACTATATATGGTCTATATGCTGTTCTAGGTGGCTTGACAGTTCAGTTAAACTGGAGAACTGAGAACGACTGATCTGGGCCTTAGGAATAGTTTGAGGGTCACAGAACTGATCCAATTTGAAAATCAATTCTTGTACGTTTTTATGGATCTCTAAGATTACTTTTTCCTTGTAATCCCAGCACTCGGGAGGCGGAGGCAGGAGGAACATTGTCTGAACTGCATAGTGAGATCCAGTCTCAAAACCTCTTTTTTTTTGTTTTGTTTTACAGTTTCAGTGTTGTCACGGCAATGAAAGAAGGCTCGCTCACAAAGGAGGCAGGCGCGAAAGGTGTTCACAGCCTCCTCTCCCATCTCGCGACCGGGACACTAAAGGTAGACCTTAGCACACACGTCCAGACCAGGATATACACACACGTGGAACCGGAAGAATCTCCTGCGGAAGGCAGGCTCGGGCGAGCCGACGGGGCCGGCCGCCCACGACGTCGGGCGCAGCCGCGTCCCCCGGAGCTGCGGGGCTGCGCTCGCTGCAGCGTCCCCCGGAGCTGCGGGGCTGCGCGTACTTTAGCCAGTGCCTGCCTGGCAGAGAAACCGCGCCTGTCTTAGGGTACAAAGATCAGGGCATCCCCGCAGACAAGGATCAGGGACAAAACTGACGGAATCCAGGGAAAGGTTCAGGCTTTGTTTTGCGGATCACAGTAAGTCGCGATGCCTGCAGTCGTGGAGCTCTCTCCGGCTCAGCGCGGCCCCACAACGCGGCGAGCCTAGTCTCACTACTCCGCACCGCCCGCCCGGACAGCGCTCGCCGGGTCGGCGCTCTGCGCACGCGCGCCCGAGCTGGGGGCGGGGCGCGGCGCGGCTCGCGGGGCCTTGTGGGAAGGCGGGGCGGAAGCCGGCTGAGGCGCGGCGGTCTGACGCGTCGCGGTGCCCACGGTGACGGCCAAGACGGGTGAGCGGGCGTGGCCGTCTTCGCCGCGGCCGCAGGGCCTGAGATCCGAGCGCGAGGAGGGCAGCGCCTTGGGTCTGGAGAGGGCGGGCGTGGAGTGTGGGGCGCGGACAGAGGGGCCGGGGCGGCGGGGCCGCGTTCCGGGGTCGTGGCGCCAGGGCCGGGCCTTGGGCGGCGGGGCCGCAGAGGGGACGCTCAGCCTCCCGGGCCTCCAGAGGGCCGGAGG